GAAGAAAGCCACCACTGATCCACTGATCAGAAATGCTGGATTTCATGTGAAAGAGTTGGCAGATCTCAAGCCTGCCTGGGAGAGTGATCCATAAACAGGGAGCCACCACTAAAAGCGCTTTCTCCTTGGTTCACACCGGCCTGAAGGCAACAGAAACCAAAGAAGGCGCTGCAAAATAGACCTTAATAACCAGCAGGGATGAGAACCCAAATACCCAGACTATGTATCAGCACTTGTTTTAATTATTCAAATTATTAATTATTAATAATAGCAACAATTAATATGTTACTTATTTTACTGCATTTCAAATCACATGCTTTCAATCGGATCAATGAGAATATAGAAAATATTGCAACTTTCTCAACCAGTAAAACTTATACTTTACTTTAAAAAAACATACCCGTATATTACATTAACAAGAATGACAGGAGGTTCAATGTATCATTGGTCATATATTTATTTACATTCATCCATCCAGAGTTTAAGATTTAGTTGTAATAATCTAAGGGCACAATCCTATGAATATTTCGAAAATGTTTGGACAATGTCTAGGACATGTTTCCATCTAAACACACATAAGATTCTCTTCACTGTCTAAAGATGCAACCCTAAATGGATTGTTCCATATTTGTCCATGACACGCTGGTGGGTTTCTCTAGGGAAATGGCTTTGCTAACAAAATCAATACATTTATGTCAAATTGTATAGAAGGTGTCCGATTCTTTTCCATAACTTTGCACACTATCCATCCAGTTAGTTTTTGCAACCTTCCACACATCTGTAGATTCTTTCCAGTTCTTCGCTATTAGCTCACACGACGCTCCCATCGTAAAAGTCAGCCTCTCTTCATCTAGTCAACATTCATTACAGCCTCTGAAGACAGAAAACAGCACACCCTCCATCACACACAGCACAACTGATGAGCAAGGAAGCAGGGGCGCTCAGGTCCAGGGTCAAATCCAGCCCTCCTGAAGTTCCAGTCTGACTCTGGGGATTCTCTGGACTGTCACATTTCTTTTCCCTTTCCCCAGGTTTTTTTCCCATTCTCAGAGACTGAAATGCCTCCCAAAAGGCTTCGTTTGTGGAAATTAGCACTGGAGGGAGCATTCCTATCATTGGAGCCCTCAGTTTATGGAAGCCTCAAACTCAGCACAATCTCCTTTCCTCCCCGCTTCCAGACTGCCGTTTTCTCCACCCTTTGAGACCCCATTTCAGCCTTGGGGGTGCAGCCTGCAGGGCACCATCTGCAGCAGCTGTGAGACTTTCAAGATGGGACTAAATAATCCTGAGGCCTCCCTACTGAGCTTGGGAGGCCACAGGATCGCGTCCTTCAGCTACAATACACTGAAAGGCTTGTGTATTTTTGCCCCTTCTCTTTGCCCACCACTAGGGTGAAGAAGTATCCAAGAGAACATCTGTGAAATGGAGTTCGGCCTTCAGGCTGGTTCGACAGCCGTGCCGCTCAGGTTTTTGGCCAACGGACCGCAGAATTGATTCCCCTTGTTTTGTACACGTGCCGCAGCCGTATCGCATCCGGATAGAAGTGCCGGAGAAGATGTCTGACACTGAGTGATTATTTAATAATACAGATTGTAAAAAGAAGGGTGCAAATACTTTGGACACTGGAAAGGTCTCTCTATTCTTAGAAAAATATGTCAGAAAGGTTCATTTCAGGAGCTGACAATACCCAGAACAAGTGGGAGGAAAAAAATTGCTTAGAAATAACCAAAGGTCACTGCAAAGAAAGGAATTAAACTGCCTTTGAAACATAGAGCTGTTGTAATAACATTTTTGGCGGAATGCAATAAACTTGGATGCTTTAGATTTAAGATGGCAAAACACAAAGTAGTGGAATTCATCACAGAAAACTGAGGAATCCTGAGGAAGGGATTGCATTGTACATTGTTGAGGGAGTTTCTCTGAAAAAGGAATTTCTCTGCATAAGAAATGGCACCCTGTGCATGAACATCGGAAGCAAGAATTCAGCATGGCTTTCCTGCAGATGAAAGCCAGAACTGAGAAGTAAGCAGGGGTCAGCTGCATTGAGGGTGGAAAAAGGGAAAGCAACTTATACTGTGAAGAGAGTCCTCTGCGAAGTGGTGACTTTCATGGTGTTTCTGGGCTGCGGCATTTCAAAGCAGGGCATCCTCCGGCTGGGCCAAAGGACAGAGACTGGTAGCACATTGTAAATGTGGAAAGGTGTGCCAAGAGGAGCTGGATGGGGAATAGAAGAAGGGCCTTCTCAGTGGCTGCCCCGCGTTATGGAACAGACTCCCCAAAGAAATTCATCCGGTGCCGTCCTTCCTCTCATTTCAGTGCTGGGCAAAGACATTTCATGAGCTGAGCTGGCTGGAGCCAGGGGTCAGACTAGATGGCCCAGGAGACCCCCTTCTAACTCACTTGGTTTCTATGTTTCCTTTGTTTCAAGAGAACAGGGGATGTTCTCTTGAAACAATGGAAACATAGAATTAGAGAGCAATTCTAAGACATGGTGGTGCTATAAAACATCACTTTCTGACGAACTGCAGCTGCTTTCCCTGCAACTTTGAAACAGTGGGTGCTGAGTCCACCTCACCCTGTTTTTTCCTGCTCTTTCATTGACAGAGAGCAGCACCCAAAATTCCAAGTCTGGTCACACTGCCCATGTATGTCAAGCCATTGAGATACCACCCTTTTGCTTCCCATCCTTCTCCTAATGCTCCGTGGCACCAAATTTGCCTTTTTCACAACAGCCGCACCCCGTGTCCACGCTTTCATGCAGCTCTTCTCCACCACAACCCTAAGATCCTTTCCTCCGCCTCTCTCCACCTGTCTACCCCACATCAGCCTATGGCTGAGGTACCCAACATGGGAAGGACAGTCTCCCCACGCTGGGTTGGTTGATTTAGTGATGTTACATAGAAAGAGAGCACATAGAAACAGAGCGAATCAGAAGGGGGTTCCCAGGCCATCTAGTCTGACCCCTGGCTCCAGCCGGCTCTGTTCACGACATGCCCACAATGTGCATGTCTAGCCTATCCTTGAACACCCTCACCGATGGGGCCTCAACCACCTCCTGGGGAAGCCCACTCCACACCCTCAGGGTCCCGACTGTCAGGAAGTGCTTCCTGGCATCCAAATGGAACCTGGGTTCCCTGAGCTTTGCTCCGTTGGAGCGCGTCCTGCCTTCCTCTGCAGGGGAGAACAGGTCTCTACCCACCTCTGTGTGACACCCCCTCATATACCTGCATGTTGCCACAGATTCCCTCGGAGTCTCCTCTTCTCCAGGCTGAAGAGACCCAGTTCCCTCAGTCTCGCCTCATACGGCATCCCCTACAAACTGGCCACCAGCCTTGTGGCCCTGCGCTGCCCTGACTCTAACCTGGCTATATCCTTCCTGTAAGGAGGGGCCTAAAACTAGTGGGTACTTCACTCTGGCTCCTCAGTTCCTCCACTTGACATTGTGGTGGGGGGTGATTCTCCTCTCTCTAACAGTCACCATTTGGAGTGGATTTCAACTTGCCCCATCAGTCCCCTTCACACAAACAGGGCTTGCGTCCTGAAATACCGGAGGGCCAATTTTCCAGCCACGGCAGAGACAAACTGCCAGGTGGCACCGTCTGCCTCCCTCCTCCCGCAGGCAACCAACTCCCATGTGTTCCCAGCTGAGCGTGGAAGCTGGCCCCGCTGCATTCCAGGGCTGGGGGACAAAGCTATGGGGACAAAGAAGAATGCTTAGCAAAGCAACACCTGGAACTCATGGAGGACAGGGAGCTGATGGGACCCCTTGCCTCCAGCTCCTTCTGGTGCCTGTCCTTGAGTAGGGCCCATGCCAAGTGACTCCTGAGAGATCTACTCCCAGGGAGGAGGTGTAGGGGGTGCCAGTTGCTGATCTGCTCAGCAACACCCCCCCCCCCCAAGCAAGGGGAAGTGTTGCTGGCTGGATCCTTGGTGCAAGAGAGGACGCCTGTCCCTCCCCATCTCGCTGCCCTAAGCATCAAGGAGCACCACAAAGAAGATTCCCACTGTCCGCTTGAGAGATCCACTCTCGAGCCTCCAGCAAGGTTGGCCAGGATCCACGTCTCCAGGCTGCGTTCACACACTACAACAACCCACCCCCGAGAAGCAGCCACCGTGGGTTGCTGCATAGTCTGGAGGAGGTCTATGTGCCAAGCGAGGGTTGTTTGCCCCAGTGCTCATCACCTCGTGCAGCTGGGCTTGCTAAAGCCCTGCAGGTCCCAGGCTTCCAGTGCCCAGCCAGCCCCCTGCGAGCCGTCGGCAAGGTCCCAGTGGAACTGTGAGAGAGGCACAACAAGCCAATAACAACAACAAGGCCAACTTGCACGGATATTGCCCATTTACTGGAGATGCCCCCGCATGGTCCCAGATCTCACCGTCATAAAGGCAGCACTAAAGTAGGAATATTTATACCTCCCTTCCTGCCTTTTGCCAAAGCTTCTTGGATGCTAGAAAAAGGACCGTGACGTCAGTGTCTAAGTAAACCAAAGAAGTCTGGCTGCCGGAGTATTGACTTAGCCCTGGAGTACAAGAGCTGCCAGTTGACTGCGATCTAGAAGCAAGTTGGATTTTCTCAGCCAAGCAGGTAAGGGTGGTGGCCTTCCCTGAGGAGAAGAGCAGAAGGCAGGCAGTTGAGTTGTGGGGTGAGAAGGCAAGCAGAGGGAAGGAGACTTTCTTGGGACCTTTGTCATTTAACAATGAGCACTGCAAGGAAGGTCTTTGGGTCACTTAGCCACCAGGGTGTGTGTGAGAGTCAGAGGCAGACACAGAGAGAGAGAGATTGAGAGAGAGAGATTGAGAGAGAGAGAGAGATTGAGAGAGAGAGAGAGAGAGAGAGAGAGAGAGAGAGAGAGAGATGAGAGAGAGAGAGAGAGAGAGAGAGAGAGAGAGAGAGAGAGAGAGAGAACAGCTGTTGTATGTCCATTCTGTGTGTGCAATGGAGCTGGGGCGATTTATGCAAAGAGAGTTCCCAAGTCAGTGAAACGAAACACCAGAGAGCGCAACAGGGAGAACTTTCCGGCAGCCTGTGCTTTAATCCCCGAATCCGTTCATGTTAAGAACTGCAGTTTAGATCCAGTTGCATTGCCAGTTGGACAGCCTAAAAAGCCAGCTGGAAGAAGGCGGATAAGAAGTGAGAACCGACAGCAAAAAGGGTCATCACTGCTGGGACAACCAGAGATGACCGAACCTGCGAGCGCTTGGCAGTTGCTGAGTAAAGCTGGGGAAATCTGGCATACGCATTCCAAATAGTAACATTTTCGGTTACGCCTAGCAGCGCTTAGGGAGTATATAAGCATCTGCTTGAAATGGACTTTTCTGCGGAAAGACTGCTACCATCAGGCTCAGCAGAGGTGCCAACCTGGGCTCCCGCCTGGGCTTTCAAAGAGGCACAAGGCTAATCACCTGTGGTGAGTCTGACTCTCCTCCAGGTGACTGAAGGCCCTCAATGTGCCATGCATGGCTAGGACAGGTATGTGCAAAGGGGCTTGATATTACTATTTGTTTATGTATTGGTCAGCTCGTAGCATTGCTGATTTGCTTGCAAAGTTGTTTTAACACTGAAAAACTGCCTCAGATAAACCTTGGGCTAGAATCTACCTGTGATCGCAGCATGAATGTTGTGCTTATTGGGGTTTTCCATTTTGTTTTGTTAGACTAACAAAATATATAGAGAGAACTGAAAAAAGAGAGATTGAATTGATTAACTGATCTCAGAAAATCACTGCTGGCATTAAGAGGTTCAGGTGCTCCTTGATGTATAGAAGATGTGTGTGCCGGGAGCCACGGTCTGCAAGGTTAGCCCCACATCCTGCCAACATGGGCTGCCTTATTCGTTGTGTTTTTACTGTATCTTGTATTTGCAATCAGAGGACTGAGACAACGTGCATAAGCTTCATCCCCTCCATTCTAGCCTCACAACAGCCCTGTAAGGTAGGTTAGCTGAAAGTCAGGAGCTGGCTCAGAGTTACCCAGTAAGCCTCAGGACTGATGAGGACTAGCATCCCTGTCTCTTGAGCCTCCCAGGTCCCTTCTAACACCTCTTGCCCCGCTCCACCGATGCACTCATGGCTCCGTCATGCAGGCAGGGTCCCACTGGGACAAATTCAAGAACTTTCCTGTGAACATCCTCTTGCTACAAGTAAACTCCTCAAGAGACACATTTCCACATTTAGACATGAGGCAGGAGAGATCTGGGCAAGCCGGGAAAATAAGATCCTCTGGGTGGCTGGGGAAGGAGGTGAGAACCCACAAGGGCCACATGTGGCCTCGGGCTCTGGCCCTTGGAATGGCCTTTTTTACGTGAGCCAAGCCCACCGATGGTGGGAGAACAAGGCTGCAAGGTCCACGGCAGCACAAGTGTGAGCTCAGCACATCCGTGCTATGACTCACACAAACACACATGTGGGGAAGATTGCCTGACCCCCCCTCACCAGACCTCCCCAGTGGTCACACTCAGTCTCCGGATGCATTTGGCTTTTGAGGAACTGGATCCAGCATGGGATCACCGGCTGAGCTGGGAGTCACCGCGGTTGGCACCGAAATCGGGGCTGGTTCTGGCCCACTAGCCCCGTAGCCATATTTGTCCTGGAGACGTCTCAGTTCACACCACAGATTCCTAGTCCTTGGTTCAGGCTGGAAGGCCATGGACCGGCACCCGGAATGACTACACCCTGGACTTGGCAGAAAGGGAGTCTTCCTTCTCCACCTGTGACCCAGGGGGATCCGCTGTGGCAACAGGACCTCTGAGTGATCAGCCTGGGGGGGGTCCCATCCCCATGTGAGCATTTGCAAAGGAGCAGAGGGGGTGACACCCTTATTCTGGCATGCAAGTGCATCCGTGCTGTGTCAAAAAGTCCAGCCTTAGTCACTGGACTGTCACTTGTGTGCATGTCCTTGACAATAAGGGCACAAAGCGGTGTCATAATAAACAGATTAATGAGACAAGAGGAATCATTCACAGAAAGCTCCGTCCGATTCACATCCCCCTGAGTCCCCGCCAAAGGGCTGTGCAATTGAGGGTGCAGATTTGCATATTAAGACAGAAAATACACCTGGGACTGTGCCTCGCCCTTCCTTTTGACAGGAGATCACCGAAAATTCATGGCATTTCTGTGAACTTTGTCTTACAAGGGCAACCTAGTAGAAGCCGGGGTGGGTGCTAAAAACAGCACACTTGAGCGCACCAAATTCAGCCACGTCCAACTAGATCCACCGTGCTCCCGGGGTGTTTCATTCCAAACGCCTGAGAAATCTGCCCAGCTATCAGGAGACTAGAGCACACAGGGATGAAAATTGGCTGCCCTCCTGGATTATCAGCGAGGTGGTAGTTCTGAATGGCAGAATGCTCACTAAACACACCCAAGGTGGGGTTTTGGCACTGCTGAAGTGACCTGCATGGCCCTTTAGGAATCGCCAACAAAAGTAAAAAGAAAATCTGCTACTATATGTCCAAATCCATGTATATGTTGTGTGCATATACATAACCATATACATAACCATTAGAACCGTTGGTTAAAATGGCAATAGACACACGGTGCTTGATGTGGGAGGCTTTTTGTTCTGTCTGCTCCCCAACGGCTGCTTTTGGATGGAGAACACGCCAAAGGACGCATTCTCTTTAAACTGCTGCGAGTCCAGGCGGCCCGTCCGATCCGAGATGCGTTCGAAGAGGGGTGGTCCTCTATCAAGTGGGGGAGCTGTGCGCTTGCGAGTGGGGGAAAGAATAACTACGCACTGGATTTTGCAGAAAGGGGAGCTTTTCTTTAAAGCTTCAGCCTGTGGATTTCCTACTGGCAAAACCAATTCAGGCAGCGTCCTGCCATGTGTAGGCAGAATAATAGTCCTGTGGGTCGCAGCAGGTTTGGGACTTGTGGGGCGTTTCTGTCTAAAGAGGCTAAGGATTGTAGACTTAAATTTTTGACTTAATCTGGCGACCTTTCATTAGACCTTTGCAGGCAATAACGATGTTCAGGCTAAAAAACTTTTGGTATGATCAGGGGGAGTCCCTCTAGGTTAGAAGCCTTTCCTGGGGCAGGTGGAAGAGGGTTGTTTAAGAAAGAGTGGAGCCTCCCTGGCAATGCCCAGCTTTCTCACAGGAAGCCGCGCCTGGCTGAACCTTCCACATAGCTCTTTAAGCGTTGGTGCAGGTAAACCGTTTGTCCCATTACATCTTGAGAAGCAATTGCATCGTAATCCGAGTGCCGGGCTGGGGCTCAGAGATTGGGTTCTACTCTGCCCCTCTGCCATGGGGCCCCCTGCAAGACTTTGAACCAGGCACTGACTCTCGGCCCCGTCTACCTCACAGGGTTGTTGTGAAGAGAGGAGAAGGGCCGTGTTGCCAACCTGGGTTCTGTGCTCGAGGAAAAGAGGCAGGACATAAATGCACTGTGACAATGGCACCGCAAGGGTTCCAGAGCAGTTGCGCCAAAACCCCCAGCTTCTCTTTCAATTTGGTTTCACCCCAGTCACAGGGAGGCATCATGTCATGAGAATATAACAGAATATAATCTGGCCAAAGGTCCAGCCAGTCCGGTGCTCCATCTACATGGTGGCCAACCAGCTGCCCATGGAGTCCCTCCCCACAGCAGCCTCTCCCACCTGTCGCCAGCCAGTCAGGTCTCCTCCGCACCTGCACACTTCCCAGGCATGGAGCATTCTTTGGCAAAAGCTCTAAGTGCACTTCCAGAAAGCACAACAACAAAGAATGAGCCTCTGAGCATGCACAGAGTGGTTCATTGAACCCCGTCTACCAACTTCTTCCGAGCATCCTCCTTTAGAGGACCTCCAAGCCCCCTCCCTCTGGGATGTCCTTTTCGGAGGCAGCCATGCTCTTCTCCATCTGTCGCCCCTCTAAATGGTCCGTCTCTCCCAACATCACATCATGGAGTCGAGAGTCATGCCAGGCTTGGCTGGCTCCAGTCCTTCTCTCACGTCCCCTTCCTGCAGTGGCAAACCCTGGCTCTTCCCAACCTCTGCCTGAACACCTGGGGAGGGGGTCTTGAGATAAGCCCCTCTGGCTCTCCATTTCAGTGCCTGGGAGTTCTGGTTGGCAGGGGCCCTCCTCATCTGACAGGTCCAAACCCACCTGGCCTTGGAGCGCACGCCAAGAATCACTGCCCTGTTCAGTCTCCGTTCCCCAGCAACTGGGGAAGGCAGGTATTCCATGCCCTATTGCAAAGTCGTCATTAAAAGGGCGGTGATTGTCTGAAGCATGTCCTGTAACATGTTGACTGTAATATGAAATTCAGTTTGCACTGAGCAGGGGTCTGATCCAATCTTAGAGGACTGCAGACACTCCATGCGGAGTTAGATGAGCACGGAGGCAATGTTTTCCAGAGGTGGCCAGCCTGCCTGCCCCGGTTGCTGAAGAGCTGGCGAAGGAGGTCTTTTAGCCATCCCGCTTGAGGGATCCTGTGAGCAGCTTTACCACCATGTACATGGAGTGCTGAACAGGTTGGACCTTAGGTCTGATCCAGCATGGTTTCTCTTCTCTTCTCTTCTCTTCTCTTCTCTTCTCTTCTCTTCTCTTGTTCTTAATGTTTCTGAAATGCTTCAACACGGCTTAGGGAAGGACTGCAGTGAAGTGTTGGCTCCAATGCCAGCGGCAGTGCATCCACTCCGGGCTCAGCCTGAAATGTCAAGGAGCTGTCCGTGGTCCTGAGCCCTTCTTCAAAGATTGGCACCTTGGACAGCTCCTTAACAGCTCAGACTGCTGCCCAGCATGGATACGCACTGGGCATGGCCTCTTGGGCAGTGGCCCCTCTCAGAAACTTCCACTGATGACCTCAGAGCCAATTTGCATCATGGGAGTGGAACACTGCTGCAGAGAAAGGCTTAACCCTCTCCTCCCCGAGGACTGTGGCAACCTCCCGCCCCAAAGAGAATCCCTTCTGAATGCAGTTTCTGGAAACCTAATCGATGAGCTGGGAAGGAAGGCAAGAAAGAGAAGCAGCACAGAACACAGAGCATGGCAACCCAGGTTCACAGAGTGGCCTGATGAAAGAGATGGTGTTAGTGCCGAGGCTTGTGATGAGAAAAGCCATGGCTCTGCGGCAGAGCGCTTATTTATTTATTTGTTTGTTTGTTTATTTATTTATTTGGGAGACTTCTATGCTGCCCCATTCGCCAAAGCCTCAGGGCGGCTTACATCCATAAATAAACATCCTTAAAATAATACAAATTAACAGTATAAATTAAGTCACCCTGGCCAAAGAATAAAATGAATAAATACTATTAACAATTAAAATGACATTTGAATAAAAAGGTCTTTGCCTGGCGCCAAAAAACAAATAACGATGGTGCCAGGCGGACCTCTCTGGGGAGCGCATTCCATAGATTGGACACCACCGCAGAGAAGCCCTCCTCTGGGTACTCGCCCTCCTAATTTCCTTCATGGAGGGTTCCCGGAGAAGGGCCTCTCCCGCTGATCTCAAGGGGCGGCTTGTCTTGTGTGCAGAGGGTCCTTGGCTT